CACAGAGGACTTAGGTCTGCCATTAGGAAACCCAAACAATACCTGGTCCTTATGAGGATGCTTGCAGAGAGCCAACACGGAAAATTATCCTGGTCAGAATTGCCTGCATCCCTGCCCATTGTCCCTCACTATAGCAGATTTTGAACAATCACTGTGACTGGCTTTCAGTCAGAGGAAGAAAAATAAATCTTTTTAAAATAGCTAAAGCTTGGTAAGCACTTGCCATGTGCCAGGCAGATGCACCAGCCATGAAATCTCACGAAGGAGGGCCTGGCCTCTCCCCATTTGACAGAAGAGAAAACTATGCCTCACAGAAGGCCAGTCACTTGCACAGGAATATAGTCCAGGCAAGGCAGAGACAAGATTCAATCACAGACTAGTCAGAAGCCAGAACCAAGCTCTTAACCACATGTAAGCTTTTCTCCTTAAAATGAAATCTTGAGAGGTAAGTGGACAAAAGCCCTTGGCCCCAGAACTCAAAGTTAATGTCTGAACCAGAGAGCAGCCAACCTTGAGAACTCAGGAAGTCTTTTGTTTTGGTTTGGTTTTTAGTTGGAGTCTCACTCTGTCGCCCCGACTGGAGTGCAGTGGCTGCTCCTGGCCACCGCAGCCTCGACCTGCTGGGTTCCAGCGATCCTTCCACCTCAGCCTTCCAAGTAGCCGGAACTACAGGCGCACGTTACCATGCCCGGCTAATTTTTTTGATTTATTGTAGAGATGAGGTCTTGCCAAGTTGCCCAGGCGGGTCTCGAACCTGCGGGCTCAGACAATCTACTCACCTTGGCCTCCCAAAGCGTGGGATTACAGGCTGAGCCACTGAGCCTGGCCTGTTTTGTTTTTTTTCAGTTTCACTGAATTACCTAGAACTCTGTATTTGTCTCCTGCCATCCCACCCAGTACAACACTTCTCCCCACTTGCATTATGGGCCCTCAGACGTGGAAGGAGGGCAAAAATAAGAGGAAATCAAACAGATGCATCTGTGTCATTTAAAAGTGGTTTGAAAATGTCTCTGTGGTTGAGCCAGAAGTCTGTCCTATGGTGGCTAGGGCTTGGGGCAGGTGCTAAATCCAAGGTCAGCTAAGACACAGAAGTTCTTATGTCTCAGGGACAGACCCCTAAGTCCAGAAAGCAAGAAGGTGGACAAGGGCAGAGAGGGTGAGAAGGACAGGGTTGCAGCAAGGAACAGAGCTAAGCACTAAACCCTTGAAAATACTAGCACATGCACTCACTGCAGACAACTCCCTGGAACCCCCATTTCTTGCTGCCACGGAAGCCCCTCTGGGAGGTGCTCGTTTGCCCATACGTGGTTCTTCCAATTTTCCTCCAGCCTTGCAGCATGTCATGGGCAAAACGTGGAACTTCCTGCCCTCCCTCAGCCCAGAGCACGGCCTGGAATTCTTCATCTGCAACCTTCCAAGCAGAGAAAGTTCCCCAGCTACAAGTCCTGAAATCCCTCCTCATGCACAACTCAGCCAAGAATAGAGGGAAAATGGAACCCATTATTCTCATTCTGAATGGCTGGGAAATGGCTTTTGCTTTTCAACATGAAATGTGCCTAAAAATAAGCTGTGAATTTCAACCAGAGGTTGAAAATAGCTCTGCAATGAACAGAGCTCTATTCAGAGTGGGCTCAAGGACAATCTTCATTCCAAGATCTGAGAGCTGAAACACCGGAGTTAGAAGGGGTCATGGGCAGGGGGTTTTCCAGGATGGAGGAACTGGCACAGGCTCACAGGACTATGTTGTCTATAGTCTGTTGGTGGGTGAGGGTGCTTTTAGCTGCCACACTGGAATGGACATATGGTCAGGATCAACACTCACACCTGCCCAGTGGGCTTCCTGAAGTCCCCAAATGCCCAGGAAGTGCTTCATGTGGCTTCAGAGCCTGAGGTCCAGTGTACAGACAACTCCAAAGTAGGCAGAAGGTCATCAGATTCATGAGCTCTTGAGGCAAGGCTGTGGTGCTCATGGGCTCTTTGAGAAGTCAAGCCACCCTGGTCAACCACCAAACCACTGACCAGATATTACCTCAGCGCCAAGGAAGCCTTTAGGCAGGAAGGGCGAAAGCACACTCCAATTTGAAGTGAAGAAAACCAAGCTGCTAAAGGCAAAAGTCTTTTTTTGTTGTTTACCAACATTTCTAGATGATTCAGGCCAAATAACATTCCTACAAGATGAACTTGTTAGAAACCACAGCTGCTGGGAGGAACCCTGCTTTGGCCCAATCAAGCAGAGTCTTCACACTCAGGCCGCTAGAACGGCCAGTCCTTGCCTCCATCTCCATGCCCCTCCCATCCCTGTGCTCCTTCCACTGCTAAGACAGCCCCATCCCAGGTACATTCCCACACTCCTCCCACTGCAAGGTCATCTCCTCTTGTGGGCTCACTCCTGAGGCAAGACTTATTGCAGTGATTCTCAGCTGGGGACAATTTTCCTCCCAGAGGATACTTGGCAATATCAAAACACATTTTTGATTGTCACTACTGGGGGTAGAGGGCAGGATGCTACTGGTATCTCATAGGTAAAGGGCAGGAATGCTGCTAAACACCCTACTGTGCCAAGACAGCCCCCCACAGCAAATAATTATCTGGCCCAAAATATCACTAGTGTTGAGGGTGAGAACCCTGAGTTACTGGAAAGCTGGTATATGTATGGAGCTGGAGGGACAAGGGCTCATCAGACTCCCAAGATCCTGGGACATGGCTGCAGTGCTCCTGGGCTCCCAATAGAGTTGAGACATCCTGGCCAGTCACGGAACCAGTGCCCAGATACTACCTCAGCATCAGGGAAGCCCTTGGGCAGGAAGGACGAGAACATACTCAGCTTCCCTTACTAACTCAGGAGAAAACTGAACAGTGTTATAAAAAGTAGCTCTCCTCAGTTTGGGAAGATAAAAAAGTCCTGGAGATAGATGGTGATGGTTGAACATGGTGTGTATGTGTTGGCAAAGGCATGTGTCTGGAAGAGGGTCCATATATCCACTCTCAAAGGGGCTTACAACAAATAAAGAACGAGCCCTGACCTCCACCAACAACGATTTCAGGATTAACAAGTCACTTCAAAACAAAAAACAAAAACAAAAAAACAAGTCACTTCATGGGGTAGCAGAGTTCATGTCAGAGGATGCTCATGGGCGTATTCAGGTACCACTGTGGAAATGGAGCCTTGGGAAGAGTGGAAACTCTGCCTGTGATCACACAGCCAGGGTTCAGACTCAATTCTCTGACCCTAGAACCCACATCCTTTTCCCTATTTGAACCCCATGTGGTGATGCCCAGTGGGCAGAGCTGTGATAACAATCCCAATGTGGGCCTGAAAGTAGTTTGGGAACACATGGTTGCCCTGAGCCCTGCTGAGCTGCTCTCCCATCCATGCCTCACCTGTTGTGCTGGCTTTTCCTACCCCATGTCTTCATTCCAAAGAATCAAGCCCACATCTCTGGGAAGCGAGTGTGCCCAATACCCCACCTCTGAGTCAGTACTGAAGGAACAAGAGGCAGTTTGTCCAAGTTATTTTCCTAGTAACTATCAGTAAAAGAACATGGGATTCTCCCCCAGTTGGTAGGTACTAACCATTCGCAACAGGCAGATGGCAGTGCCCTCCTCTGGGATGAGGAAAAGCAGCCAGGCAGCCCTCCACCACCTGTGATTTCTAGTTTTGCTCAGAGGGGCTGGCATGGTGGGCCCCCAGGTCCAGCATCTGAGGTGACTAAGTACCAATTGTCTCATCTGTGTATTGGGCAGTAACTTTATCTACTCATTCTGATGAGATAAGGAATAAACAGGGTAGCATGTATAAAAGGACTTGGCTGTGCCTGGCTCACCAGAAGGGCCTGATAGGGAGTCATACGGAAGAGGGCAGGGACCTAGAGGTCTGGTTAGGCCTGGTTAGGTCTGGTTGTGGTTGTGGGGTCCCACTCCCACAATGTGAAATCCTTTCTAGCTGGAACTGGCAGCAAGAAGAGTACGATGTCACCTAGTCATCCCCCAACAAACCCCAAAGCTGAGAACTGGCCACTAGCAAGAACAGAGGAAGAACAAAACTTCCTAGCCAAGGGTCCAGCCAGGAGGACAACCCTTAGAAGAAAAACCATAAATCCCTACCTGGCCTATTCCTAGAGGGAGCCCCAGCACACAGAAAGGGTGGGGGGGACTGTGCACACACATATGCACAGGTGATGTCTATCTGCTCCAGCCACAGAAGCCCCAGGATAGACTCAGGAGACTTCCTGGTTCTATTTTGGGCCCCAGCCTTGACTCGCTGGGGGCCTTGGGCGAGTCGCTTCCTGTTGTTTGAGCCAGTTTCCTAGTGTGGGGGAAGTCACAGGGCCTCTAAGGTCCAGGGGGAGATATTGGGGTTTCACAAACTTGACTTTAACATTTATTTCAGTCAAAGCTAAATATGACCTTATTTAATGGGACTATCAGTTATCCATTTCTCCCCCAAATGTTCGTCAAAAAATATTAACTATCTTAATTCAGGAGCACTGAATGCTCTTTTACCAACAAAGGTACTAAAAATGGTTTGTGGTGGCTGAGGAACTTCCTCTCCACGATTTTTTTAAAAAAGCAAGTGAGAACAACAGGACCAGGACCTTTCCCATTTGTCCCAGCTGTGGCTTCAGGTCCTGAACCCTCTAGGAGCCTTACACTAGGGTCCTGTGACCCAGGGCTCGGTATAAGACAGGTCCTTTGTTTCCTAAGGCCTTAATCAACAAGCAACACGTGCCATGGTGCCAGCCCCACCAAACAGTATGGGCTGGGACACCCTGCAGCTTGCTTTAATAGCCTATTGGTATTTTATGTGTTCACTCTAGATTGGAAACAAAGTACCATAAGTGCCAAAGTACTATTTGGTAGATGACGAGATCTTACCAGGGTCCCTTCCTTGAGGCTAGCCTAAGTCTCCAGCACCCTACTGTCTCTGAGGCCAGTGCTGTTCACCATGACCCAGTCCACCAGAGTCACAGGGGTCAGGACACACCTATCAAGCCACTTACCAAATTCCCGGCAGAGCTGGTCAATGTGGCTGGGGGCCTTTGCACTTTAATGGCTTCTCCATAATCAACAACATCAAAGTTACTCTTCCAAACCATCACCTGCCAAGATAATAAGTACACAGAATCAGGAGGAGAAAAACCCTTTGCCAGTCTTCCTTCACCAGAGGCCCATTCTGGGTCATAGTGGGATAGCAGTCCCTGCCTGACTTCCCTGGGGAGCAGGTATTTTATTTTATTTATTTATTTATTTTTTGAGTTGGAGTTTCACTCCATTGCCCAGACTGGAGTGCAGTGGCTGCTCCCGGTCACCGCAGCCTCAACTGCTGGGCTCTGGCGATCCTTCCGCCTCAGCCTTCCGAGTAGCTGGAATTACAGGCGCATGCTACCACACCCGGCTGATTTTTTGATTTATTGTAGAGATGAGGTCTCACCAAGTTGCCCAGGCGGGTCGGGAGCAGGTATTTTAGACAGACCTCAAGAGGACCCGGATGCACCACCAGGATGGAGTATCACTGTGTGGTACCACCAGGTCTTGGCACTTGCCTGGGGTATCAAAGGCCCAAGCTTTATGTGGCTGGCTCCTCAGGCTGAAGTACCTGCTTCCATACCACCTTCTCAGAGGGGCCTTTTCTGGCCTCCTACTAATTTTTATCATTGCCCTCTATTTATTTCCTTCATAGCAACAGAGTCAGTAGTTATTTGTCCTTTTCCTTGTTTATCATCCATCTCCCCACTAAAATTAAAGCTCCTGAGGGAAGTGGTCTGGCCTGTTACAGCATATGTGAGAAGCGGTTGACATATAAACCCTAGGCCAGACCACCAGGGCTAAGATCATGGTCTGACTCCTTATTGTGTGGCCCAAGGGACTCAACCTCTGTGCCTCAGTTCCCTCATCTGTGAAAAGCGTTGTGGCTCACACCTGTAATCCCAGCACTTTGGGAGGTGGGAGGATTGCTCGAGCTCAGGAGTTCGAGATCAGTCTAGGCAACATAGCAATACCTCATTTCCACAAGAAATAAAAATTAAAAACTTAGCTAGGCATGGTGGCGTGTGCTTGTAGTCCCAGGTACGCAGGAGACTGAGCTGGAGGATCACTTGAGGTCAGGAGTTTTTGTTTTGTTTTGTTTTTTTGAGTTGGCGTCTCACTCTATCACCCAGACTGGAGTGCAGTGGCTGCTCCCGGCCACCACAGCCTCGACCTGCTGGGCTTCGGCGATCCTTCCACCTCAGCCTTCCAAGTAGCTGGAACTACAGGCAAGCGCTACCATGCCCGGCTAATTTTTGATTTATTGTAGAGATGAGGTCTCGCCAAGTTGCCCAGGTGGGTCTCGAGCCCACGGGCTCAGGCAATCCACTCACCTCGGCCTCCCAAAGCACTGGGATTACAGGCTGAGCCACCGAGGTGGCTGAGGTCAGGAGTTTTGAGGCTGTGGTGAGGTGTGATCGTGCCACTGCACTCTAGCTTGGGTAACAGAGTAAGACCTCAACTCAAAAAAACCAAAAAACAAAAAAAGGGTGTTGATCCTAGTTTGTATCTCACAGGGCTACTGAGAGGCTTCAAGAAAACAGCTCAGCACAGACACTGGCCTCCAGCAAGCTCTCAGTAACATATTTTTATCCCAAGGCTAAGCTCAGCCATAAACAGTGTGTCCTACTCTGAGAGTCTTCCTATAAACAGGATCATGTCCTGAGGTTCCTTCACAAGCTGAAGGAAGCACCTGGCTGGGGAGCAAAAGCGCTCCCTGCTGGAGGCTGCTGGCTACACACAACTGTGTGCTTCTAGGGCCACTTCCAAGATGGCTTGCATTTCACAAGAGGAACTATGGAGAATGGCCGGTGGTCAACTGAGGCCACAGAAAAAAACACCATATCCACACAAGATGAACACTGGGCGTGCTCTGGACACAGATGTGAGCCTGAGCAGTTCCACTGTTTACTCTGCCAGATGGATAGTACCTAAGGTCTCACACTCGCCACCTTACAAACAGAATGTCGGCGCACACATACACTTGTCTATAGGTTCTTCATGCAACCGCAAATCTAACTGCTGAATAAATTCCTAGGAGTGGAGTGGCTACCATTAATGTGAAGGGATAATGCCAAACATCACTCCAAAAAAAGTCAGAGCAGAATTTAAAAAGGCAGGCAGGGAGCTGATGGCAGTGGTACTTGGGCAGGGGCCAGGGTGGGCAGAAGTTCTACTTTTCACCAGGCTGCCTCTCTTACTATGTCAATTTACTTTACCATGGCTCTATTTACTGTGTGAATCTACTGTTCTAGTCTCCCTGTCTTCTAAGCAACAAGCCAGGACTTCACACTCAGGGAAGGCTCGGGTGGCAGCTGTTTGCTAGCACAGAGACCGGTGCTGGTATGGAAAGATGCCCGCCATCTTTAACGGCGTTGTCAGGCTGTGGTCAAAGAGTCTCCAACTACCCTCTACCTTACTGGCAGAGACTAAAGCAAAATTTGGCTGAGGCCAGGGCTTATATAGGCCCATAAAACTTTTCTGGGCTGAGCAGCCAGAGCTGTGAGGCCTGGCATCAATGGGATGAACATTCTCGGCAGTCTACCAGGTCAACAGCCACTCTTTCTTCCCTGCCTCAGGAAATGCAGTTCTCTGACAAGAGACACCATGCAGACACTCTGGAGAAAGACTGTTCATGTGTGGACTCCTCAGTGTTCCTGGCCTCCCCAGTGCTGGGCTCTGGACTGGGCACCAGGAGCAAGGTACCCACTGGGAAATAGGTCACTGGTGGTTAGCAGATGACAGAGCTGAGGCTCCCAGGGCAGGGACACAGCTCTGAAGTCAGATGGGCCCTGGTGCCTGTCCCAGCTCTGCCATCTGCTGAGACTCAGTTTTCTCATCTATGGAATGGAGAGATGAGAGGGCCTGCTCCACAGGGCTGTCATGAGAATTAAACGAGGTATGAAGCTCTTGTTCACATTGGCCTTATTACCAGGCCTACAGTAAGTATTCAATGATTATTATCTATTCATTTATAACCAGGAAAAGAACTAAAAAAACTTCAACTTTTTCATGGCAACCATAGCCCAGACTCCTTCCAACTCACATTGGTCTGAGCAGTAAGGGTTTTCAGATGTTGCTATGAGGTCAGCACCTGTAGGAGACCCATTCTGGGGCAGCAGGGGCCCTGGATCTGAGTGCCCCACCCTAACCTCCATCAGGCCTTTTCAGTTGCTGAAAGCCACCAAGGAAGGTGGTGAAACGTGGCCCACTCCCAAGACAGCTTCAGGTCTCCTGTTTGGTTCTGAGCAAATTCCTCTTTTTCTTCATTTCGTTAGATCGTTCTTTACTCACTTGTTCATCAGAGCCTCCAGAAGCAAAATACTCCCCCGTTCTTGAAAAGGCAACAGTGGTAGCTGGTCCCTAGCAGAACAAACAGAAAAGAATAAACACCAAAGGTCACTCTAGATTCTAGATGCACAGGAAGAAAACTAGAAGTTTCTAAAGGAAGCAGCAGCAGGATATAAAGGACTGAGAGCCCAGCAGCACGCAGTCATCCCTAACCTGTGGCCAAGGAGCCTGCCCGGGGCCAGGTGCAAGTGCCACTCCTCAGACCAGGCACAAAGGTCAGGCCCTCGGGCTGTGGGTGAGCAAAAATGAGTGAACAGGACAGCTCACACTGGCAGCTCTCCTGGGCTGGCCTCATCGTCCCTGCTCCCCCAACAAGAAGCAAGAGATCAGAGAGCTTCACTGACTCACCCTAGGCAACAGCACACTGGAACTAGAACTTGGTCTCTCTGACCCAGGCCAACCCCAATACCCCTGTCTACCCCACACAGCCCTGCTGTTGACCAGAGAAGCAGGGAGTTCCAAGAAGAAGCCAATGGCTTAAGCAGAGCAGGCATAGCCAGAGGACCCAGGTGACAGGAAGGAGGCTGGGGAGGGAGTTACCAAAGGTACAGTGGTGTAATGTGACATGTCCCCCTAACATGCATGCCCCTTTTCTTGTGTTAGGGCTGTCAGGGGCGATGTGTGCATGCTTCCCAGGTGCTGATGGTCTACATGACCATCTAAAGGAGAATACCAGGCACAGGCTAGGCAGCACAAGGTTTGATGGAGGATGCATGATCTCCTGGTAAAGAAGGGTTCTTCCCACATGCCTGAAATTCATTCCAGAAAGATGTACAAAGCATTATGCCCACCTCCCAATACCCCTGCACTGGGGATCAAGTTTCCAACACAGGAACTTTGGATGACTCACTCAAACAACTGCACTCTTCCTAAGAGTGCCATGTCTAAGTACAGGGAACAAGGCCCAAGGGGACACAAAGACAAAGCCTTCGGCCTATGCTTGTCACCTGCTTTCTTCACATAGGTGGAGCCACAAGGGCCCAGCATGCCCCACTCCTAGCAATCCCAGGAACCCTAAGCTGCCATTAACATCAGTGAGTGTGGAATACTAGGCATAAGACATCATGGGCTGTGTGACACCATCTGCATAATACAGGCTACACATGCAGGGCCTAAGTACAGGATGGGGACAGGGCATTCGTCACTCAGATACCCTTCCAGGTAGGCAGTCACCAAGAGCTTACTGGAGGGAGGAGTAATTTCAGGTAACTTTTACTTGATTCTTAGAAATCTCTGTCATTTTCCATATTTTGCATTTTTTAAATAATGAGTATATGGCAATATAACTTAAACTATTTTTCATTTGAAGAAAAACAAGAGGGAACAGAGAAAATGGAAGGAAACCAATGAGTGTCAAAAAAAAAATGGGCCCAGACTGGGCTTGATGGCTCAGCCTGTAATCCCAGCACTTTGGGAGGCCAAAACGAGGAGATTTCCTGAACCCGCAGGTTCGAGACCAGCCCGGGGAACTTGGAGAGACCTCATCTCTACAATAAATAATTTTTTTTAAAAATTAGCTGAGCATGGTAGCGCGCACCTGTAGTTCCAGCTACTTAGAAGGCTGAGGGGGAAGGATCACCTGAGCCCAGCAGCTCGACACTGGGGTGACTGTGAGTGTGCCGCAGCACTCCAAGCCCTCCAGCCTGGGCCACAGAGTGAGACTCCAACTCAAAAAAAAAAAAAAAAGATGGGTCCTTTGCTTGCCCAGAGCTCACTGAGTAATGGCAGGTTTCCAAGAAGGCACAGAAACTAAGGAACCAAATACTCGTGGGTCACTTTCCTTTCCTGCTGTTACTCAGCCAGCAGCTGCCAAGTTGGGAACAGGATGTCAGAGGCAGAGCAGCAGCAACAGCAGCAGAACCGCGGAGGATTTTGCCAGCAGCCCGCAGCTCAGCAGGGGGATCAGGACCAGAGAGTGGGCGCTGGGAGCCCTCCAGGTAAGAAGTGCTAGTGCTTTCCCCAGAGACCAAGCCTCAGAATGTCCAGGGATGGAGCAAGCAACAAGCTATGTGAGGGCTGCAGTCCACCCTGACAATGCCTATTTACCAAGAAGACCACGCAACTCCTGCTCCAGGTACCTCTGTGTTCCTGAAAAGAACAGTCTTCCACCAAGGTTTCTGCCCATTTGCTAGGGCTCACACAAGCAGCCCAGAGCACTCAGAGGACCACAGAGAGAATGCCGGCCCTGGGCTCCACTGCAGGCCAAAGCCAACATAGACCAGATTATAGAAGGGACTCTCCACTGCTGACGTGCTTCACGGTTTGGCTTGACCTTGGAGGTCCCAGAATACCTAGACCACGCAAACCCTTCCAGACCCCCTCTTTCTCCCTGTCCCACTGCTCTAGCCCACCAGATTGCTCCCTGCTCCTCAAACACCATGAGCTAGACAGAAGTGTTCTTCTCTTTCTATATGTTCTTTCTGTACCTCCTGCATTGAGCTCTTAATTCAGGTATTTTCAATCTTTCTTGGTTTTATATAAATTCATTTAAGGCTACAAATTCGCCTCCGATGACTATCTTCAGTAGATCCCAGTAGTTTCCAGTATGCAATATTTTCACTGTCATTCACTTCCAAATGTTTAGTTTTCACTGCAATTTTCCCGTTAGCCCATTAGTTGTTTGGGAAAGCATTCTAAAGTTTCCAAAACTCCAAAATAGGGGAATCTCTTCTTATCACTGCCAGTGATCAAATATGATACATGTTCTTTTGAAATTGCTCTATCTTTATGATGGCTTATTCTTTATATTTAATTAATCACTCTTCACGCATCAGGACACTAGCTTGGGGCAGGGATGTTGTCAAGCTGTTTCTTCTCACAGGCAAGGCCTGTCCTAGGTGCCTCTGCAGTGACTCCTGATTGTGACTCTGAGTGGGAGCTCTTGCCTGGCCTCCAGCAGTGTGGATTATGGTCTACCCCTGACTGCCAGAGGTGCCCACCTGCCTGAAACCCTGATCTCCATTTACTCCAGGCTAGATCCACTGGCAGGGATGCTTAACAGGCTCAAGCAGGGCCTCCCTCCCTCCTCTGAAAGACTAGTCGGAGTCTTCTGTGAGATAATTCTGCTTAATCAATCATGAGCACTAGCCAAAGGCTAGCCTCCCACCCTACCTTCCCTCCTGACCAAGCCACACTTGGCACTTGAGCTTTGCCAGACCCACACTTAGTCATTTTACCATATACTACCCCTCCCTCACCAATTTCCAAACCCAAGGGACTCACACTGTGTGGTTTCTTTAAAGAATTTCTTCAATTGACAAAGCATCAATGGACAAAGTTTTTTTTTAAAGGCAAAACAAAGGAGTACGTGGTGATTAGACTGGATTTCACGGTAGTGTTCTCTGACTCCACTGCCCCCAGCAGCTCATTCAGACCTCTTTGTTCTCCTCACCCTCTCCCGCCTGACTCACTGAGGCTCCTGCATGCCTGAACTCTGACCACTGTGCCCACCACAGCTAGGCTGGCAAACCCACCACCATCTCACAAGAGTTGTGAAATCATTTTTGTTGGCTCTTATATGCACAGCCTGCCAGTGAACAAATAGGATTGTCACACCACATGCCCCTCAGTCTGAGGTAAAAGCAGAATGGCCATCAAACAGAGAACAGAGACCAAAGAGGCCCAAGAGGCCTCTAGCGTGGGCACTCTGGTCTCTGACCTCTGTGCTCAGGCAAGAAACTGCAACCCAGTCCCCTGGGGCTGCTTCTTCCACACCAGCACCAGGAGGTTCCAGCACTTATTCACCTGTACCTGCTGTGTGGGCTGGGCTCTTGTGTCTGAGTGGCGGCCCAGGGTCATCACAACCCAGTGGACAAGGAGTGGGTGCTGTGTAGGAGTCATTGCCCAGAGACACTAAGGCTCTCTCTTGACCCAGGCCAGGGACACCTGCTCTCAGCCCTCAACTCTGGGTTGTTGGAAGCAGGCAGAGGGATAGGCTGACCTCTTGGTTACTTAGAGCAGAGTAAATGAGCTGTTCTTTCTCTTCATGTCCTCTCACCTCTCACAGGAGGTGTCCAACAATCAAAGCCAGGTATGACCCTCCCAAGCATCAAAATAACTCTCCAAAATGAAATGACTAGACAAGAGCTGCTGAGCTCTTAAAGAAACGAGGGAGGAGAGGTCCATTCCGACAGCTGCCTTCCACCTGGAACAGCCTGAGGGGCAGCCCGCATGCCCAGGCCATTTTTGACATACTGCTACCTTCCTTCCTCCACTGAGTCCCCAGTCCCAGCCTAGGATCTGTCCTGGCACAAGCACCCAGTAAACACAGGTTTTTACTGCCACTCTGAGCCTGTGAGTTCTCGTCAACTGAGCCTCCAAGTCCAGCCCTGGACACAGATAGCAGCCCCATGCAGGTCTGGGCCCACAGCAGGGGCTGCTCACCTGCGCTGGGGGCCAGTGGGGTACATGGAACTGCATGCAGCTCAGTCACTCTACAGCGACACGCACACCAACTGCACAGCCACAAACACCAGATTTAACTCCCACCCACAGCCCGCCCACCATCCTCTCCCAAATAGCTCTAGGGAACTTAAACCAAATGAGCGTGGCTCAAGATTATGTTTCAGAAAATATAGAAAGATAAATCTGTATTTCTAGCATACTGCCCCCACGCTTGCCACACAGGGCTGTGAGGGCCTTGCTCAGGGCACGAGGCTCCAAATGACAGCAGTAGTCGATGGGGAAGCCCTTCCCTCTCCTGGCCAGTGTTCCCTTCTGTAAAATGAGGGGGTGTGACAGGATGATGAGGCTCCTCTGCAGCTCTGACAACCCGAAATCTGTATTATATCCAGCGAGAAGCAGGGACTCCCTTTCCTCCTGATTAATTGTCACTGCCATGGCACATCCCCCAACCAACAATTCCTAGAGCCTCAGTCAGGGCACTGGCACCCCAGCCAGCCCAGTGCCACCACATAGGTTTTCTGATACCCTGGCCATCCTCCCAGAGTCAGGCCCTAAAAGAGATGACTGGACAGACAGGCCTAACAAAGGGCACTGCATATGGACCCGTA